GTATACTTATGATCTTGTCGTTCTTAATATTTACTTATTTCGAAACCAGATCAAAAGGAAGAAGTCGGCTCATGCTGGAATGTTTGACATCGCGAAGACGCCAAACAGACCAATGATACATATTGGTGGCTAGTGTCTATGAGCCATTTTGCATAATTATGTATGTTACTCTCAGCTGGATTTTGTTTTACTCTTTGCTTAAGCTGTGGTTTTCTCTTTTCTGTATGCAACTTAGCAGAATGAAGATTTGCACCCACATTCTCAATAGAGAATCTACTCTCATTCAAATACATTTTTCCTTCTGCTATAATAAATCTCAGCGCATATGTAACTATGATTGACATCTATTTAACTTCAGTGAATGAACTGTGAGCCGGTGTTAGATGAAACTCATTACCAGTGGACTTTGGATGTGCTGCAGTTAGTATAATTATTTTGAGCTATTCCCTGCTGTTTTATGTAAGTTTTATTTGCAGTTGAAATGATCTGTCGTTCTGTCTAACTGCTCCATGGAACGAGCACTATTGGTTGTAAAGTTTTCTTATTGGATGTGAAAGTGCGTCCCCAAGTGCTAAGGGCATATAGAAATGGATAATTTCTATTCATAACTTAAATGCTAAGGTAACCGTATGCTTGTGGTATTAGCTTGAGCTTCTCATATAGCACATTTTTTTGGAATTTTAGAAGATATCATACAAAGCATGTAGCACTCTTCAATTCATGAGCGTAGAGGATTCCTTTTCTCTGCAAGGCACACAATATTTGACATGTAACGATTAAGTGCATGTTTTTCTATCATACTGATGAAGGTTCATAACTTCATCTACATGGATACCATGTTTCCATGTCCATATAACCATCAACCTTTTATTTTGGACATATACAATCACTATTGCTTTCAATTCAACTACATGCTGATTTTTAATTCAGCACCTCGTTTTATGTGCGAATTCAGTGTAATAGATCTTTCTGAGACACTGTCATTTTATTTAGATTCAGTTGTTTATGCACTCAAAGTGTGTCTTGGCTTTGACTAGTCACGCCTGTGATTACAAATGGCGATGCGCATACTGACATCACATGTGTGACTCTGTCTCGTGGAGCTTTTAATCACTACTTTTGTAGTTTCTCTTTCAGGCAAAACCTCTAAATTGCTCGTGTGGAATTTCTATACTCACGATTTGCTTATGCCGTCGATCACGCTCCCATGGAAGAAGAGAGGAACTAAATGAGAATGTTTCAAATGAAGCCATGTTCTTGTGACAACTCTTAAGGATGTACATTATCACTTTAGAACTTTAAAAGTTTAATAGAGTGAAATTTTCAAGTTCCTTTTGGAAAATACCAATGCTGTTTTTCTCATACAGTTTTGATGTATATTATCGTCGTCTTTGAGCAGCAATTCTACCCATCATACCAAAAATAGAAACACAGTTCGGGGGAGAGAGAGATTAATATTTATCTTGTTTGATAACTTTCAGACTGACATATATAATGCACGGAAGACAATCCCATTTGTGTTTTTCAGTATGGCTTAGAACTTGGCTCTTATGGCTTGCCCTAATTGGTCGACTGATTCTCATTTTTACTATTTTTGGATGGTAAATATTTCTCATGTCTGTGTAGTGTATTGCTAATGAACACATGTTTGAACCAAGATACGGATGGTATTTGGCATGCCAGTTATTCTTCTGAAAGGACCCACCTTTATGACGATAATACCTTGTACACTTGGGGACTCGGCAGTAGTATTTACTATTTAATAGTATTGTTAATTACCTTTGCAATAGTATACTAGTACAGAGTTCGTGCGATGCACGGGGTGCACAATTTTAAGGCTATTTATCCAGACTTATAATTATATATATGAATAAAGAAAAATGTACGGGATACATATAGTACGTGACCCGTGCAAAGCACGATGTATATTTATTTGGAGAATATTATATTATAAGATGCAATTTTCAATAAAAGTTTATAATACGCGAGAAAATTGTACAATGTTCAATAAAAGTTTTATAATATTCAAGTGGAGTCTTAAAGTCTCTTGTACATTAAGACTACTGACAAAATAATATTTTAATCAATGAGTTTCCTTTCCTTGTAGCCAAATTGACTACTGACAAAATAATATTTTAATCAATGAGTTTCCTTTCCTTGTAGCCAAATTGTGAATGTGATTTAAGGAGTACAACAAATCGATATATAGTTGACTTGCTTTTTTCATTGTAGTTTTTTTTTTTTTTTTTTTTATAATGAATTTAAAGATATTCTAAAATATAGCAAAAATTAATTTTTTTATTACAATTAGGAATTTTACTAAATATAAACTCTCAATCTATGGTGTTAATCAACGTTTAAGTCTAAAAAATTAGGAATTTTTACCTCTTTTAATCAACGTTTAAGTCTAAAAAACAATAGAGTTATTATAAGTTTTTTTTCTACATCTTTTAAAACATTAAATATGAGCATGTTAGGGCTAGCTTGTAAAATAATTAATATATTATCTCACTAAAACATTTATACTAATAAAAATTTAATTTTAGCATATAAATTTATCTTTCATATAAGAGAAAGTAACAGTTTTACTTATTGTTGTTCACCATATAATATTTAATTATTATTTTATTATATAATAAAAAAAATATTGTTAAATAGTGTAGTAGAATTGTTATAAAAATATATGATTTTTTTTTTAGAATATGGATTTAATATTATTTTATGATTTGATAATATAAACAAATTTATACTTAACTTTGACAAATAAAACAAATAAATACTTTAGTAAGTATTTAATGTATATAATAAATAGGAATATATTTGGTATAATCAAATACCAAATATAATCAAATAAGTCAAAGTGTACATTTTTATTTGGTATTCGATTTTTTATTATTAAAATCTTTTTATTATACTTACCTTTTTAAAATAAAACAAATAAATAAATTAATTAAATAAATAAAATATTATAATACCAAAATAGTAATGACATTTAATGCAGTTGACTTTTCTGGATAGTAAATGTAGTAAATAGAATCTTCTTTTATATAAGTATAGATTGTAATACGGAAATAGTAATGCAATAAATGTTGTTGACTTTTCTTTATACTAAATCTGGTAAATGGTATACCTTTTAATATAAGTATAGATTGCAGAAAAGTTATGATATTATCCTGTGCCATTCTATATTGTGCATACTGGTGTTCTGTATACATACTTTTGTTGATTTTCACCAGACTACCATTGCCGATAGAAGAAACGTGCTCTTGGTCAGTTTACGATAGGTTGAGCCCATGCCTTGCCCAGGTGACAAGCATTCCTTTTTTTTTTTTGAATTCATTCCTGAAATCGTTCAAAATTCTTTTCTTTGTACACTTAGTCTTCCAAGACAATACTGAAACTGAGTTCACTAGGATCTGCTCTGCTTATGCTGAGGTGCTAAACATTTTTGTATTTATTGAGTTCCATGTTGACTGTGTATGTTTTCCTACTATCTTCTGAGAGTTGACCAAATGAAGATGTTGTATCACAGAGCATTGAATCCCTTGGAAAAAAAGGAAGTACTATTAGGGGAAGTCATCAACAACTGGACACTCTAATTACATCAGAATAATTTTCCGAATGTTTGAGGGTACCGTCGCTTTTCTTAATTTCTCTCTTTTGTTTTTTCCTACGATAAGCATTCACTTACTGCCAAATAGCTTATGTGTGTTTGTTATGAAAAGGATGGCTAGTGTTGCATAAATAAAGGAACCGAGTATATCCTAAATAATGAAATGTGAATAGATGGGTAGTTCTTAGAATTACTAGAACCAACATGAACAAGAAAATTGCTGTGTGTGAGATGCAGTTTTATTGATAAACACATGTTATTCAAAATCTCTCTAGTAACTGGACACTAATCAAGACCACAGAGGGGAAATGTTCCTTCTTTTGTGTTATCACTTGTTTACTCACATTTTTACCTAGGTAGAAGAAACAACCTTAGTCAACAAGTCAAACAATATTAAACAAACGTAGTAGTAAGACATAAATCTAGAATCCATACAGTATCTACCGAGGCTTTCTGTAAACAGTTTTCATATGGAATTCCCATCACATCTCCGAACAGTCTCATTATAAGCGTGAGTGACTATCAATTTTCTCTGATTAAGTTGTGTCTAGTGCTATAGGGACAGAAAAGTAAGTCACACTTTCCAGGCACTAGTATCTAGTTTTCAGTACCTCGAGCGTTTTAGTCAAATGTCAAGCATCTCTTTGTTCATACCGTCGCAAGAAGAGGGTTTTATCTCATTAATTACTTGTGTCAACCTTTTGAAATTTTCAACACATAATTAATAGTCGGTCACCTTTTTGGCCCGCACAAATAAAAGTGGCAACTCCATTGGGGAGACTACAACTAAAAGTGCTCTAAATGTAATTCATCACTTGGTACTAAGTCCACTACCAAAATTGTACATCCACCATTGGGGAGGTCCGCATGCTTTTGAAATAGTTTTCTACTACCATCAAAAATGATGTTCGTTCTTGTGAACTGTGAATAAAATTTGCCCGTTAGGGAAGAAGGTTCTAATGCCAACGCACAAATTTACTCACTTCACTAACAAACCAGTAATGGTAATGGGAGGCTGTTGAATTATTGAAATTTATTTAATTACATTTAAATCACTTAGTATATTTTTAATCAAGGAATTTTCTAACCATGCTCCTACCAAAATTAATTATTGTTGCACAAGAAGCAAAATAATAATTAAGGCACATGCAAAATTAGAGACATAATAAATTAGGAAAAATATCTAATTCTAATGGCTTCTAATCCCAATCCAATTTGGAAACTAGGATTCTTGTCCTTGTAGAACTCTAGCTTCTTTTGGACTTGGCATCATGTTTCCATGGAAATTCCACTTTCCTTCGACGAACAGACTCTCGCAGCCGCCGCTGCCGCCCTCGCCAGAAAATCACTGTGGAAACCGCAGCGTCATCGTGCCGTGTCCTGGCCTTCTACTCCCGAAAAACCCGCGCAGGGCACCGACGCATGCGCAGAGACCGCTGCTAGCCCCGCTGCCGAGTCACTCGGGCGTGAGCTACCGCACACGGACAGCGCTTCGCCTCGAGACAGCGGATGCAGAGACCTAGGTCTCTACGGCAGCGTTGGTCGAGACTTTTGCGCATCGCACGCTGCCAGGCCTCGTGCTCGAACTGCGCGCTCCCCCGGCTGCGGTATGCAGTCCCGTTGCCCAGCGGTATCCCACCCGTCTCCCATCGCCATTCGCACGGGGTCGACCGCGCACGCCCCTGCAACGCTCGCGCGCGACAGCGAACTGCCCGTGGCCGCGCCAACGTTCACTCAACCAACCGTGGGTCGCGGCCTAGGCTAGGCTCGCTCGGTCACGTCCTCGCTCGTCCTGGTTCGTCCTCAATTTTTGGGTTAGTCGATAAATATTATATAAAAAATTACATATAATTGACCTATGATCTACGCAGGGACAGTACACAAATGATTTCTAGTGAAGCAGTAAACTATACGTTATCCCACTGTGCGTTTAAATATTACAATCATTCACAACTCAAAAAAATTCCCAGACATGTCCGAGGCTTTCAAAACGCAAACATACAACATAAATAACACACATACAATTAGGCCATAATAGTCGGACTTAGAATTTCTGCAAAAACTCAAGATTTGCAATTCTATTCTATTATGTGCTACGAGTACACAATTATTTCACATATGTCCAGATAAACTAATTCAAAATGCACACAAAAACCGAATTAGCCGGGCTCTGATACCAGTTGTTGGTTTGGTGAAGAACGTCGATTCATGTGCGCATCGAGTAACTTAACGAATTTAATAATATCGTAGTAAAATTTATTGATAGAATTCGAAGACTTACGTTTTAATGGTAATCTTATATATGAATCATTTCAACTTAAATGATATCCACTTAGCTCGTTCATCCCAGGGATGTAAATATCTCTTACTTTTTTGCTTTAGTATTAAGCAGTTTTGAAACAATTCTCAAAGTTAAGCTGGAGTCTCATTAATCAGTTACTAACAATTGTACTTTTTTGCATCAATGATTCAACTTTTTTTTTTTTTTTTTTTTNGATGTAAGCTTGTCTATGAGATCTTGATTATCATCTTTAGGGAGTGTTTGTTTATAAATAAAAGCAATTCATATTTAAAATCTAACTTAATTTTAATATAATCCCGTCATCCTTAATATTATAAATATAATTAAACAATATAAATCAAACATTCTTACATATCACACAAACCTTAATTCACTATTCATCCACTCACATAATTTTAACTAACTATCTTTTCACATCATCTTTCTTACTTTTAAATCAAATCAACATTTTTTTTTCACATCATCTTTCTTACTTTTAAATCAAATCAAACTTTAAAATGGGATAACCTTTGTTTAAGAATCAATTCTAGCTCATTTTTTCGGGAGGTGGGTGGGGCTATGAGCATTATTGTTAAGTTGATGTTGGCATGTAAAAAATGTTACTGGGCACTTATGGAATAAATGATACTCATCAATTGTGGATAAATGCTTCCGACATGTGAAATCGTCTATAAGGCCCGGATGAACTCAGCTAGTCAGCTTCTTAATTTTTTCCCTCAAATTATTTTAAAGAACAGAGTTGTGACTATAACGGCCTCAAAATGCCTTACAGCAATTCTATAAATTAATTGGAGAAGATAAAGCAATCATTACATTACACAGTAATACAGCATATATATATAGATGGACGATTAACTCATTATCGCACAGTTATTAGTTATTACACTATCAACAAATCTCAAGTCCGTCCAAACAACAACCACAAAACATAAAAATGCACGGGATAATTATTATTATTATTATTAAAAAAAAGGAACTTATTAGTTAAAACAAGACAATAAAACCACCACCATGGCCGCCGATAGAAGTCGGAGATCAACCCACCTTGGAGGCCTCGAGATCCGCCGCCTGCTTGAGGAAACTCTTGTCGTCATCCTCGAGCGCCATCTGGATCGGGTTCGACCCGAGCCCGTCGGCTATGGCCAGCAGTATATTCTTGAGCTCGGCCCGGAACTCGGCCCGGTCAACGGTGCCGCTGTGGTCACAGTCAAACTTCTCGAAGATGGAGTCGTAGAGCCTCGTCAGCTCCTCGGGCGGCGTGGCCACGTCGTCGCCGAAGTGGGTCTCGATGAGGCGGAGCGACTCGAAGGCGCGGCGGAGCTCCGACCGGGAGAGGACGCCGTCGCTGTTGAGGTCGAGGGAGGCGAAGGCCTCGTCCACGCTCTTCTGAAACTGAGCCTCGTCGGCCACGAACGCCCGGACGGTTGACCCGTCGATTATTACCACTCCCATGCCGCCGGATTTTCTTACTGTGTGTGTGTGTTTTGATTTGGGGGTTTTGGTGGATTTGAGATGCGAAACTTGGAAGGGGGCTTTTATTTCGGGATAAAGTCCACTATATTTTCATTTTTCAGTATTATTAAAAAATAAAAAAAGAAGTACAAATTATTATGAGTAGTATTTTTCATTAGCCATTCATAAATACGTTATGCTTGGTTTTTTGAACCAATTATAGATTATGTTTTCAATGATGCACTGAATGAAAATATGAGATAACATTTTAAAAGAAGTCTATACCGTTTAGTTATCGGGTTTCATGTTCAAGATAAGATATTCTTTTCAAATATATATTTTTAATAATTATAAAAGACTAATTTTTAAGAACGGAAATAGAAATAATTTATGAAAAAATTATTTTTTGAGAATTGAAATAATTTCCACCTTTGGTCCGAAAATTTTAGGAGAAAGATTATCTCAAAATTAGTTAAACTATATTGTTGTACTATATTATATAGTTATAAATACAGATGTAGACAGTAATATGAATTAAAATTGATAGAAGAAATTTAAACAAATAACATAGTTTAAATAACTGATATTTTCACGAATTTTATTGTTTAAATTTAAACAAAATAGCTGGAATCTCATTAATCAGTTACTAACAATCAGTTACTATATGAATATCTATACAGAAATTCTATGGTGCCCATATGGTGCCATAAATCTCACGATCCAACGCCTAATATCCATTCTATCAATTCCATAATGGATATTAGGCGTTGGATCGTGAAATTATGGCACCATATGGTGCCCATATGGGCACCATAGAATTTCTGATATAAATATCGTTTAAATAATCACGACAACTAATATTTTCGCGAATTTTATTTATTTATTTTTTTCTTTGTATTTTGTAAGAAAGGGAAAGGGATGAAGGGACATGTTCGTTTCGGACCATAAAATTGGTAGAATTAAGATATGGACATGGTTTTTAAGCACGTGGTTTTGGTGGTAATGAATTATCAAAATCAAACAAATAAAAGAGCATCTTCAGTATTTGTATCATGTATGGATAGCAGTGCCATATTACAAATGGGTTTTTGATACTAAATGCAATTTCTCTATGGGCTCAGCTTATTCTCAATTAACTTATGAAAAAGTGATGCAGTTGGACTTGGCTGAAGGTACGAGTCTGGAAAGCAAGAAACTTACGAGTCTTCCAAAACCCGTGGTCACCGAAGAAGACGATTGTTGATTCAGCCTTGCTGAAGTGGATCGAATTTCAAAAATTGCACTTTATTTTGATTTTTCATCTAGCTAGGGCACTTCGGGTAAATGTTTTTCTTAGCTCTGCTTTGCTTTGAGCTGCTGGGTAAGATAGCAAAGGTTTTCAATCTGTGTACTGCCTATTGCTACATTCCCAACTTTCCACTGTTTGATGGTCTTGTTAGACCTCCGGTTGTGTACAAACTTCGTGTTTATTTTATGAGATGTACTTCTACCG